AGGGAACGAGATCATAGTCTTGTAAATAAATAGGAGGCTTTCAGTCATGTCTCTGCTCGTCACTTTAAGATTTTCATTTGTATCTAGCTCTGAGTTCAGTTTGAATAAAACGCCACTTTAAGACCGTCACAGTCAGTCGCACCGGTTGGCCAGTTTTGATAACAGCTCTGGCTTTCGAGTTCGGGCGGGAAACGTCCCCTGCAAGAGTTTTGTGATCCGATGTCGAGTCAAGCTCTATCGAAATATCTGTAAGGGCACCAGCGTTAGACCAGACTAGGTCGAATGTATTTCCAAGATCGTGTTTCGGGACGCCCGGTGCGGAAGATAGGTCCATACCGTGCTCGAACATCCACTCGGTGAGCACCTGGCCGTCGCCGTGTAGCGTAGTAGCCATTGGCAACCAGTCAGGGTGAACGGAATTGAAGTCTCCGCCGATAACTGTTGGCCCAGATGGAGCCCATAATGGTAGCGGTAAAAGGCCTGCTCTAGGAGCGCGGTATACGGAGAAAAATGAGACTCCTTCTGCCTTTACTGCGGTGATATCCGGTGATGTCTCGCAGATTGCTTGCTGTTGGCACTTGATCCCCTTTCGCGTGTAGATGAGGGAGCGTGGCCTTGAAGAGTTGGCAGCGACACGGGAAGGCAAATGCCTATCGTATCCTGGATGCGACTTGGTGAGCTAGAAGCCGTCCTTTTGTTAGGTCCAGGGTTCCTGGATAAGTAGGACATCGGTTCCTGAATCCCAAGCGGATTGTAGGATGATGTCCGTAGCGGGGTCTCTTTTATCCAAATTAGCACAGAGAAACGAGATCAATTTTGCCGTTGTATGGAGCTCGGCAAGGTTGTGGTCCCTTAGGGGCATTGAGTTACGTTAGTGGTTTCGTTGTCGGCAGTAGCCTCGGTGGCTTTCTGCTTTGCTTCCATCTCTCGGATTGAAGCGTTCCGTTCCTTTTGACCTTGCTCGCGTTTAACTGATAGCTGGTCTCTAGTTCGCTGCACAGTTTCGCCGCCAACCCTGGTAGTTCTAGCCATGCAGTGAGGTTCTATGGCTGCATATGGCCCATGGTAGTTCATTCACCTCTGGATGGTCTGCTTACAGACAGATGCTTTATGCTCGATCGATCCATATCGGAGCATCGCTCCGCTCGTGAGCAGATTTTTGTTGGGTGATTTCCCCAGCATCGGTTGCATTGCGCAGTTTTGGCCTTGCGCTGGAGCTCGTGTAGGCGACCGCTCTCTTCGAAAATTCTTTCACCCAGATTTAGCTTACCGGCTCCAAAATGCAGCACCCAGTCGGTTGATGGCCAAGCCATGCTTGTAGCGAACGCACGAGCCGAGGTCGGTCTAACGCCCGTTTTAAGAGTCGCTTCTTCAATCACCATCTCCGATGTTACTGGTGTTGGTCCTTCTAAGGTGTAGAGCCTATCTGGTACATTTGGAGATAATACCGAGATCCAGTTGGAGGCGACTTCTAGTTTCATTTCTGTACTCTCCAAGAGCACGATGCCCGAGAGGAGCGCGTCTCTTGCTCCATCTCCTTCAGCTTTTATTGCGAACCCTAATTTGACGACAGCAACCTGCTTGATTGCAGAGTTAGCCAAGCGTAGCTTGCTTGCGAGGCTTATTTTAATGTAGTGGGGAGACATGCGTCTCCACGGGTGGTCGGGCTTGACCCGTAGGAACACACGTTCGTCTGGGCGAGCCGGCTTGGAAGCGGGGGTACTTGGCTTAGGCGCTTGTGTGGGGCCGGTTGCTTTTGACTGGGACCCATTGACTGTGTCGATGTTGATGCCACTGGTTGTACAGGCTTTGGCTTTTTCCTGACCATCTGAGTCCAGGATCTCTCAGTGGTGCTGGTGTTTTTGGGCTCGTCGCCTTCGACTTGCCTAGTAGGCTTTGTCGAAGCTGGCTCTTTGCCTTTCGCCTAGCTGCTGCTATCTCTCGAGAGTATTTGCACAGGTCGTAGGGTACTCGAGTTATTCTTTCCTTCTGACTTAGTAGCCGGTGGCGGAAGGGTTGTCGTCTTACTGCTACTGGCAGCCTCTGATGGCCCACTGGATCGGGGATGGGGGTTTCCACGTAGGATGTCTATAATTATGGCCTGTAAAGCCTCTCAATTCTTTTCGACAGCTCGTCTGAGCTGTTTATTAGTTATACTAGCCGGTAGTTAAATATACCCACTGACAATACGCTCAGCCTCTGCAAAGCATAAGTTGAAAGCCCTCGCTTCATCTGCGAGGAAGTTAGTCGAGGTAACGCCCATTGACTCAGTGGGATATGGGGGCGAGGATTGGCAGCTCGCCTCGCAGATCGGCTCTGCCTTTGTGTGTTATTTGGATCGTTGGGAGGCCCTTTGAGTACCAATTCGACGTCAGGACGTGTCGAATTTGCGGGGAGTAGGGACCAATAGCCAGCCTCTGCGGAGGACTGGGGCGGCATGAGTGAACGAAATAGTTATATGGCAGTAATAAGTCGTAGATGATATGTGATAGCGTCACTTGAGTGTGGCGGACAACTAGACGGGCTCTTTTTTAATTTCGATGTGCTGTATTACGCGCTAGAGCGTTGGATAGTTCAGTAGGGACTGGGCTGTCAAGCATGTGACAGTAGTAACGAGCTATGGACGGCACGACGTTAAATTCAATCAAAATCAAAAATCACTAGATCCTGATTGTGCGTTTATATCTGTATGTGAAGATCTGATGTGAACTGTATGGTGTATATTCTACATGTCTAGAAGCAATTGCTCTACAGAAGTGGTGTGTACAGTAGTTATTCCAAACCTTCTGGATTCACAATGCGACATATTAACATGTAACCACGTGTTATGAAGGGTTATCGACAATGGTCCGACATAGTTGTAATTTTTATCACATGTGCCGATTTGTAAAGTTGTTCGGAGAGGAATTTTGATACACTAGACTTTCCCCAGAAGCTTTGTTAGACTCTACGAGTCAATTGAAAAATGTATGAAGTAAAAGTGAAAAGTGTCAATTAATTCCTTGCTGCCATTTCTCTTACTGATACTATCTAGATTATGTACGTCTAGAAAATGGCAAATGCTCTATGTGTCCCCAACTTGTCCCCATAGACCAAGCTTCTCATGGTTTGGAACGAAACATCTCTAGTCAGAACAGATAGAGTTCTTATTACTACAGCCCAAGCGAAACACCTTTTTTCGAAACAAGTAACTCCAAGCTTTGTAAACCTAACTCCTTAAACTTTATATCTGACATTAATCGCCTTCAAACTATCCACAGTTTGATAAGCTTAAACTAGAATTTGTGGTTGAATTTGTAGTAAAAGTTTCTCCCCGTCTTGTTAACTTGATAAAGCCTAATCTCCGCTTGTAATTGCTTCTGGACAATAGCTCGATACAATCATTCAATCCCGCCACAGATCTCTCTGTTGGTATTTTCGAACCTATAAACTATTCATTACTTCTCTTGGATCAAGAATCTCTCTAACTTTTATCTCAGCGAAACAGGACGCACAACCCATGAAAGGTTGTGTCTAATACCCTTTCCTCTCTATTTCGCTTTCTCTAGTTCTCTAATATTTGTTTCTCGGAAGAAATTGCAAGCATCGTACGGTAACTTGCATCTAACATGTTAACTTCTCAACGCCCGAGAAATAGCAAACTTTTTTTCATTATTTTTATAATGGTTGAAAATATGTTTTGAAACCAGATCGAAAGGGTTATTTCCTGAATTGAGCTGGAAATAATGTCGCATTTTAATATTTTGACGAAGAACTTTTGATTATCCTTATTTTTGGTCCTGATTAATTTTTGGGTTCGTTTTGGTTAAATCTTGTAATTTGAAGGGGCTTTACTTCTCTTGTACACAGATTCAAATTTATAGTTTATTATTTCGTTTGTGTACATTCAATCAATAGGCCTTGTGCTGTAAGCTCTGGCTGATAACTTGGCCAATTTCAATTTAATAGTCATATATTGTTAGAATATCGATTCATATTGATGTGGTCTTGCTCAAGCGCAAGTCAGTGTACCGGCGATATCCACTCTTGCGTGCGAATTACAGAAGTTTTAATGCTACTTTCTTCCGAGTAAAACATACCCATTGTGTAGTGTAAATATTTTAAATATTTCTTTGGTGAGTAGTAATAACTCTGCTCTATCTTTTTTACATTTTTTGAGTAGATTGAAATGATCCTGGACAAGAGTGTCGAATATTGTACGAATTCAGAGTCCGATCAGGATAGTGGTTGTAAGCGAATGAATTAAAAGTAGCCATAATTCTCTATCAGAGTATGAGCTCTTGAAATAGCCCATCATGCTAGGGCGTGCACACTTTTTAACTTGGACTTCTTTGTACTTCTAGGGATGATTAATTTGCTCTGACCGATGATCCTCTTTTCACCTGAGATGCTAGGATAAATATTTCGCAACTAATTCTTCGATATAAAATGCGAAACTGTGCCGAGTGTATCAGGCTTCAGATTGTCAATATTCTTGTAGCATACATATTGTGTACTCCTTTGAGACTCTCACCCAATGGCTGTGAAGTCAGTTATTCTCTGCTGGCGCTGATGTCTGGTTAAGTTGACCAGATTCAAGACTTATGGTGATCGGGAAAGCGCAGGTGTAGGCAAAGGATTCTACTGCTTCTATAACCCAAATTGCCTCATAGAAGTTTTTGGGAGTTTTTCTTCATAAAGCTCACTAACAGCCAAAGCGAACGATTATAGAGGTACAGCAGATATCAAGGCCCTGAAGGCAATGAGGGGATTGTGCAATCCTGCTTAAATATTTCTATGTCGATTGATGGCCTTGCATTCTTTCTTATTAGAATATTGATAGCGAGAGTATGTCTAAAAATCTTGGTCAGTGATGCTGAGCGACTTGTTGGCAGTAAAAATTCTCATACCTAATCACATCTAACGTCAGGTAGAGACTCTGTGTAAGTCGAATGAATCCGGCAATACAGCAGTTTGTGGATAGCAGAACCTCAATTCTACCGATCCACAAGTAGATACTGTTATTGTCGGCTCATGACCTTGGATAGGTCAGGTGGCTGGTTTAGTTGAGGGTGCTTGCGGTGAAGATAATGATATGATGAGTGAGGTGGGAAGCCATTTAAGTAGATATTCATAACAAGTTGCCCTGTACGTGGAGCGGAAGGTAGCTTACGTCGGATACCAGCACCTTACCAATTGATTAGTCTGCAGCCTTAGGCTAGTACTAGTTGGACTACAGACAAATTGCCCAAGACGAACTTCCTTACCTACGTTACACATATGTAGTGTGTCGCACTACCGTACTTTCAGATTATCACCTTTGAATTCGGACTCAAAACACGCCTGTAGTTGGTACCACAGAATGCTTGTTAAGCCTTGAAGTTCGGGTGAAAGTTGATCAATATTCAGCTAACCAAAAATTCCTTAATCCTACGAATACGCTAATGCAAGTTGACATAAGAGCACGACTGATACGCGTCAGGGCATCACCTGATCTAGACACACTACTTCCCAGACACAAAAGGAAATGCATACATGCGCTATTACCATGTCACCTCCAACTGCACATCGTTCAATGTGCGAGCTTCCAGCAAAAACTCGCTTGCTATCCTGTGATTTATAACACTTACTATTTATGATTCGTCGATTTAAGTCATGCAAGGCAAGAACGTAGCAAGAACAGGTTCAATTTTGTCAAACTAAGCATATTCATGCCGTATCCCCTCGGATGTTTCAAGCCACCAGGAAAATAAATTTCGCGCCCAAATTCGATCATCGTGAGCCACGAGAAGGACAGGTGATGCGCGATCAAAAATTTCATCAAGTCATCCGGAAATTTGCACCACACCTGCCTTCCACCCACGTTCCCAAGGCCATTCTCAGATAGGATTATGATGTTGTGGCACTACAGCCACGACTTCAAGACACAAGTGCAGCAGGGCAAATTAAATCACCGCATAGACTGACCTTTCCCAAAGGATTGATGTGAACCAGGCTTCGGGTGACCTTTGCACTTTCATTTTGCTTGTCTTACAGTTCTATGCAAAGTTCCTGTCATCTTATCCCACGTCGACCTGCAGTCATGTTTTAATAGCCTTCCCAAGAGCCGAGTTGGTATGCGCTGTTTTTATTTAGGCCTAACAAGCAGCCTGCGAGCGTTAAATTTTAAGCGCTACAAGATAATTTTTTGAGGCTTCTGGTGCAGATTTTATCTGGGTCTGGATAGCTAAATTTCACAGTTATACAAACTTGACAGCTACTCGAAAGATAATGCTTAACTTTCATGCCATGTAGTACTTATTTGGAATTATCATAATTCGCCGTAATGTTCTCTGTTTATCCTCCACATTGAATTGTGAGGCAATCGATAAACTAATGCTAACCAATTCTCCGCATAAATTTACTCTCAAAAGAAAAGGACTTTTAATCGCTTTCTACTATTCTATTCAAGTCGTGCTTTTAGGTCCATACTCTAATCCATAGCGTTAATATCACGTAAGATAAATTTTGTAGGTGTAGATAACGGTACAATTACGCAAGTATTTTTGTCTCTATTTTAAGGCAGACGAGACTTCCGTATCGGGAGGTTTTCCTTGAACGTCATTGGGCAATTAATTACGAAGTTGACAGCGCAACACCTGTTACATACACGGCTTCGTAGCTTACTAATTCAGAGCACGAGATATCAGGAAAAGAACCGAAAATAAATCAGCGTGTACCGATAAAACAAAAACCTTTTGATTCGTTTTCATTATCCTGATTTGGCGCCCTATGGGGTCATGCAGGTTGGCTGTAAACCTACCTATTTATTTACATAGGAGGAAACCTCTCGGTGAAAAAGCCCAAGCTTTCTGACTTAATTCTTATAGTTTGCAATTTATCCTTCAGGAAGCACAGTTACACTGTAACGCCGTCGATATGTACCAATCACGTCCCTTCTAACGACCCCAACCTTCTACATGTTCCGTCTCGTTCCCTGAGCAGCATTTCGACTGCATTTGTCATGCGGAATTGTTCTATCCAACCTGAATTAAAAATCCATCGTGTGATTCTTTTCATATCGCTAGGATTGTTGATCATTGCTTCAAAGGAGCGATTTCGGGCTTGTCTCCAGATTTCTCCTCTACCGATTGACCACTTGGGGCACGACATGATCATGTGCTTGGGATTTTGTAATTGGTAGCCATACGGACAACTTGGGTGACAAACTCCGGGTGCTTTTCTTCTGTGTAAATAAGAATTGAGCCCGATATGCTCGCTTCGAATTTGGATTGCTACGCTACTTCGGGCCCTCGTCAGGTTTTTGTGGAGAGAAAATGGTGACTCCCGGAAGCTTATTTTAGCACGTCCAGGATGGCGGCATTGGTAGAACTTTGCTGCTGCCCAAGTTTTAGGATCAGCTGAAGCAAATCTTTTAGGCTGTCGAGGTTGGCTTTGTGGCGGACCAAGATTTTGCCCATTCCAGGTACGCTGCAACCCTTACGGCTTCTTTTTGCAAGTCCTTGGATTTCTCTTCTCCGCGAATCTCTTTCCAGTATGCAAGGTCTGCTCTTCTATAGTGTGCTCTAATATCCTCCCCTCCTCTTTGGAGAAGCTTTATTTTACTAGATGCTGATTGGATAGTCTTTGGGACTGGTAGAGAATTTGAGCAGTCTACATACTGAGCTCTTTGTTGCTTCAAGTAGATTTCTATTGGAAGAGTAGCAGTTTCATGTACCAGCACTCTGGTGCTGGTCGATTTGTATGCCCCAGTTACTCCTTTCAGACAATTTCTTTGAGAGCTTCGAAGGGGTTTGACTATCCTCACAAAAACCTTATTATTAAGCAGCCCAAACTACCTTCTCTGACTATTTACCACACGCGGCTGAGGATTTATTTTGGGGCTTTATTGGAGCCCAAGGTTGATAGTATGTCAGTGGTGTGTACTACGATACGTAAGCGTACAGTTCCGGAGCCCCACTTAGCATCTCCGGGCGTCAAGGCCCCACCCGAAAACGAAAATGGGCGCCTGTCAACCACATTTCTTGCATGAAAAATTTCGGGGTCTTGGGCGGATGTTAAAGCTGATTGGGAGCCGGGTAATACGACGACATCAATTAATCACAGCAGTGAACATCGGGTGGCAGCAGATCTGACCAATCGACTACTCTAATACTCATTACACTAGACTGATAGCAACATGAGAAGAGATCGATAAAGGTATGGGTTACAAAATTAAGCCGGTATCTCGTTTAATTCTTCTAAAGCCCTTCGGCTAAATACACTTAGGAAGCGAAGTGTCTCTTTTTCTGTCATGTGGAACTAGGGAAATACGACCTTCATCGTTCTCTTCGTATTTCTAATCAAAAAGAATGTTTCATGCACATGGTCTGATTGTACTTCTAGAGATTCATCCGACAGCATTAAGTACAGGCGAGATAGTTTGATTTTGGAGATAACAGCACCCATCATATGAGGTCTGACGAAGCCAAGCCAGTCGTAGTGTACTTTACGAAAGATTGAGCTATATGGAGAGGGAAGTAACAAAACTACGGGTAGTGGCTATCTGTACATCCTTCCAGATCATCTATTTCGTGCTCCGTTGGTGAGCACGACATATTGCTCCGCAACTGTCCGTCGTTGTCCTACTGGGCCACCTCGCTTCGCTCTCTCACTAAATAACCGTACTCCACCGTTCAACACATCTTCCTAGCCCCAATGTCATTTGTTTATATCATTTAATGTGTATTCAGCCATAGAGCTATGACACATGACCGGTGCTATGTATACATGTAGGATGACTCCTTTAACGTAGAGACACTCATACTTTGGATTTCATTCGCAAATACCACTATGAGGTATGTTCGCTCACTCAAACAGTCGACCCTCCTTCGTAAGTACCCACCAAAGGTAAATTCAAAATCTTTGATTAGCCAAGCATGCCTTCGTCATCCATGCATACCAACGCCGCGAGAAATGTGGTTGTGATTTGCCGGATTTGAAGCAGCGATCTACTGTCTCGAGTGGGATATGTGTCCAAGCTATCCAGACTTTACTTGGCAGATCAGCCAAGACGATGTACCACCGCACCATCCAGCCATGGCGTTGTTTATAGCGTCGCCTGTATTCTCACAACCGAAGACTTGGCACGCACAAAGCTCAATTTGTAAAAGCCCTAGGCAAATGTCGAAATTTCACGGCCATCGAGAATGTTTCCCTCATCTGCATCATCTTCTAAACTTGTCCTGATCCCTCTCACGCCCACTCAAAGAGCTATCTCCCAGATTTTTGCGCCACGCTTTGCTTCCTCTGTCGGGTGTAAATATCGGCGTGGGCTTGGGCGTGTATTTGTTGTAATGTTTGGTCTATAGGGATTACATTGGATTAGAGTAGCAGCTGTGTTTGGTAATATTCAGTGCACAGACACCTCAATCTTGTACATAGGAAAACTCTTCTCCTCATTAGATCAATATAGTCTTCAAAACACAACAATCAGACCACAAGGTTATCACGTCCTGCGCATAATGCTGAATAGGAGCTTCAGCTCATTGACTACCGTAAGCTCATAATCACAACAGTATTTGGTGACCAGCTGAGGCCAGAGAAAGTCGACGAGAGATGTGGTCATTGGGATGAGGATGTACTTGGTCGTACTTGTAGACTTGATGAGACTTGGGTAGGAATAGATTTCGTTTGGTGTGAAAGATTGACATAGTGGAGTACTTTGAATCATTGCCTCGTGGGCCAACTTGTTCGGTATTGCGAAATTTGGCTGGACTTGGCTCTGGGAGAATATTCCACTCCCAGGGCCGTAGAAGACACCGCGTACAGGTGCCCAGTCTTGGCCTCCAGTAAAAACCCCTTGTTCGATGTGATGAGTCCACGCGAGCTGCACTTTTGATATCAGTCCCTCACAGTTGCGACACTCCATGAGGGCCTTGCTCTCGGAAGCCGAGTGCATGTTGCATCCGCAGTTCCAGCAGGATGGAGCGCGGGAGCAACGACGGGTAACGTTTAAGCACAAATTGTTGTGAATACCACGGATTAGCTCCGATCGAGTCTCATCGAGCTTCCACTATCGCGGCCCTTGGACACTAGGGCGCAGGAAGCTAGGTGAGATTAGGGCACTGATAGCACGGCCGAGATCACATCGCTC